CCTCCTCCCGGGAGGAAGCCTTTAAAGGAACCCCGCAGAGCGCCAGTGCTGGGCCGCACCATGCAGGAGCAGCTCTGGAAGCAACATCAGGTCGGGATTTAAAGACAAAAGTTAGGCTTTCAGAGTCTCCATGTAACAGGAAGGAGGGGCAGAGGGTGGAGGCCCATGCCACGCCGGGCCGGCTCTGGGGATACAGGGGGCCGTCCCAAGCATCAAATGCCGCTCGCTTTGGGTCCCGTGGGGCCCTCACGGGAATGTGGCCGCCTGGGGCTTGACCACGGAGGCCAGTTCCTTCAGCCCTATTCCACCGCTCTCCCCACCACCTCATGCAGACATATGAGTTGCCCCTGCCGGGACCACCGCCCCGCAGTCACCCACCCAGGCCGCCTCGGCAGGGGCTTTGGGACCCAATCTTCAAGCCCCACCCTTCACAACAGGCCTAGGTGCCCGTAGCCAGGGCAGTGAGCAGGAGCACAGACCTGCAAGGACCACAGCCCCACATGGGCCAGGCTGGGGGGAAGGCCCCCTGCCACCCACGCTGCCCCATAGCCGCACCCTCCCCGCGCTCACCTTGAAGGTGGGCAGACGGATGGTCTTCAGCATGTAGAGGCAGAAGGCGATGCCCAGGGCGTCCTGGAGGACCCAGGCCCACCTGCAAGACACAGCAGCATCCCTGCTGGGGTGGAGGCCGGCTGACCACCCAGGACGCCGCCTCCCACGAGCCACACACAGGGCCTTCGCTCTCAGGCAGCAGGCGGCCCTGCTGCACTTCCACCTGCCCAGGGGGCGACCCTGAGGACCCCAGACCTGTGGGAGGACCCCTGCTGTTACAACTCCAGCAGGGCGGGCGGCACAGGCCCCACCCCAGGGCCCCCCTGCAGAAGCAGGTAGAGGAGCCCACCACTCTGCAGCCAGGACGGTGGACACAGGCCTGGCCAGCTGCGTCCCCTCAGTCACTGTCCCCGGATGGTGGGTGCCAGGCTGGAGGCAGCGGCCAGGCAGAGGGTGCATGTGCAGCAGGGCTCGGGCACTGACCCCCTCCAAACTGTTTTTGTTTTTGAGATGAAGTCTCACTCGGTCGCCCAGGCTGGAGTTTGGTGACACAATCTTGACTCACTGCAGCCTCCACCTTCCAGGTTCAACAATTCTGCTTCAGCCTCCTGAGGAGCTGGGATCACAGGCGCCCACCACAATGCCAGGCAGATTTTTTTTGCATTTTTGGTAGAGATGGGGTTGTCATGTTGGCCAGGTTGGTCTCAAACTCCTGACCTCAAGTGATCTGCCCGCCTTGGCCTCCCAAAGTGCTGGGATTACAGGCACGAGCCATCGCGCCCAAACTGTTTATTAAAGTAAAACTTGTGCCACACCAAGTTTCCTTGCAGAACCTCTGGGTCCACAGTGGGTGGGGCTGCCATGCAGTTGGTGCCCTGGAGCAAAGCACAGAACCGCCTCCTGAACAAGGCCACAGCCCTGCAGCCAGCCGCAACCTTGACTCTCTCCCGGCCCCATGAAGCCCCAGCGTCTCGCTGGCCCCTGCCCCCATCGAGGCTCTGCCTGCCACTTGCTGGACGAGCTGCCCAGCGTTCCTCAGCGTCTCAAACATCAAAGGTTCATTTGAAAATGGGATAAAAACATCCCCCGGGCAGGGCGGCTGCTAAGAACAGAGGCCTCCATGGAGACGCTGGAACAGTCAATTCCAGGCGCCACACGCCACAAGCACCCAGAGAACTGTGGCCAGTTATTTTTTCTGATTTTATGTTATTTTTTAAATAAGAGAGGGGCTCTCGCTTGTTGCCCAGGCTGGTCTTGAACTCCTGGGTAAAGTGATGGTCCTGCCTTGGCCTCCCAAATGTTGGGATCCCAGCCATGAGCCCCTGCGCCCAGCTGACTGCGGCCTGCTCTAACTTCATGTGACGGAATGAGTTTCCTGGCTTGGAAATAACTGAAAGGATTCATTTTCCCTTTGTGTACAAAGGATTCAAAATATTTTCACGTCTTCCTTCTGCCAGTTAAACGTGCCGCGGCTCCAATACACACCAAAGCCAAGCGCACTTGGCTGCCTCGGGAAAAAGCCGAGAGGAAGCGCCAGACGGTATCAGTGACGGTGGCGGGAGCCAGGCGGGGACAGGCCAGCTCTGTCCTCCCAACACAGTGCCAGGCGCTCGGCCTCGTCAAGGAGGCCCGGACGGCAGGAGGCAGCCACAAGTCCAGGCCGCGTGGGAGCTGAGCAAGGAGGGAGCAGTGCCTGCCCCACCTCCGTCACTGCTCAGAGGCCATGGCAGGCATGACCAAGAGGATCGGCTGCCCTGGAGCCCACACCCTAGTCCTCAGGCCTGCAGTGCGCACGTTGGTGCCAGAGACGGGGACAGCGGGGGACAGACTGGCTCTGGGCAGTGATGCCCTGCACAGGAGTCCCATCCAGGCCTGCTGGAGGACATGGCTCCCGGTCACAGAGGCTCTGGCCTCTCCTCCCAGATTCCAGTCAGGGTTCCCATGGCACCCGGACAAACCCAGGTGAAACGACCCCACGGCCCCATCAGGGCAGCCTGGGGCCAGGGCTTTTCATAACATGGTCCTGAAGCGGCTCCAGGCTGGGGCAGCCTCCAGGGAGGGCAGAGAGTCAGGGCCCCAGGAGCCCCGTGGGAGGGAGCATCTGAGGATGCCACCGCCCGCCGGGGCCCGGGGGAGGCAGCACTTACTGGTCCTCATTGCGGAAGACACCCCACACTACGCTGACAGCCACGCAGAAGAGCGCCAGGAGCAGCATGCGGGCCTGCGGGCGCTTGTGGAAGTAGGGCAGGCTGTTGTTGGGGATCCTGGGGGGCATGGGGCAGTCAGAGCCAAGCCCACCAGCCCCCGGCCTCATTCCACTGCCCACCACCCTCGGGCCCTGCCCAGGCACCCCCTCCAGAGTGGCAGCCCCCACTCTGTCCTCCTTATTAAACTCCACATCCCCGCACGATGACAACAGTAGGCACCCCAAGGGCGGGGCAGAGCCTGGCCCAGACAGGTGCTGGGGGGCCACTGGCTGCACCCACAGAGCCCCCTCACCTGCGCTGCACCCCTCACCCGACGCACCCAGGGACAGCAACCCACAAAGGTCTCCCCTGGGCGAGCCCCGCTTCCTAGACCCAGGTCTGATCTTGCTGGAGACGCCCCGGAGCTCCCTTTACCCGTAAGAGCCAGGCCCAGCTCTGCGCTGTGGGAAACCTTCTGGGTTCCCTGGAGAACCCTGGCGCCCTCCCATGCCCCGGCCAGCCTGCCACCTGGGGCAGCGTTCTGGGGACAAGAGCACCCTCCCCCCGCCACCCCGGTGCCTGGCTGCTGGCGGGCTCCGTTGATAGCTCGCCCGGACTCTGCCCTGCTCCTGGGCCTTGGAACCACAGGCAAGCGCTGAGGAAGCGCCTGCTGTAGACTCTGAGCTACACTGCACCATGGGGGGCTATGGGGCGGCAAAGGGGCCGTGGTCATCACCGCACAGAGTCAGGCACGTCGGGGCCAGCGAGGCAGCCTCACCTGCACTTGCCGAAGGGCAGCCGCCGCACACAGGGCGCCAGGCAGCTGTACAGGCCGGTGGCGGAGGCCAGGCAGAAGATCCCGATGACCACGTACACTGCAGGGGCAGGGCCGTGAGGCCAGGGGCCAGGCCCACACACCACCCTCCCTCCCTCAGGGCCGGCTGCATCTCCACGCCGCGGCCCACCCGCCCGGGGCCGCGCACCGAGGAGGTCATAGAAGTAGTAGAGCAGCACCAGCATGGAGCAGCACATCACCACGAACACGCAGGTCATCACTGGCGTCACGTCCACCGCCTCGTCCTCCTGCTTCTCGGGCCCGTCGTCGCGCTTGTGCTTCATGTACCTTCTTGGGAGACACCATGGGGTCACGGGGCGCTGGGGCCGGCTGGCCTACACGGGGCCCAGGCGTCCACAGCCACCCAGGGGAATGCGGCAGAAAACCCGGGAGCAGGAGGGGACCCGGGGGGGACTGAAGTGCAAGGAACTGCCCCAAACGTCCCCAGGGCAGAGGAGACCACACAGCAGAGGGTGGCCGGGCTCCCGTCCCTGGGTTGGGCTGGGGCGGCCACTAGGCCGGGCCAGAGGCTGCTGTGCGGGCTCTGCATAAAGAGCCCTGGACATGGGGCCTTTCCAGACCCGGGCGGCTGGGCAGGAGAGGGGAGCTAGCCCCAGCCCCCTGCCCGCCCTGCACCTGCCACATCCACACCTGCCCAGCCCCGCACACCCACCGGGTCCCCGGAGCCCACCCCAGCAGGAAAAGAGCCTGATTCTGTCCCAGGACCTCCTGAGGAAGAAAGCAAGGGCTCCACGGGGCGAGCCGTGCCTGCCCAGGCCAAAGCGCTCACTGCTGTTCCGGACGGGAAGACTGGCCGTCCCAGGCCGCGTCAGAGCCGCCCGCCCACCGCCCACCCATCACAGCCCATGCACGGTGCAAAACTCACTTCTTCACGTCCCGACTCCCGGCCCAGTAGCCGCCGATGGCGACAGTGCCCACGGCCATGATGAAGATGATGACCATGTTGTAGTCCAGCACTGGCTCATGAGGCGCGTACAGTGCCACCCTCACCATGCGGCCGAAACGCTGCCTCAAGGAACACACCAGGGGCAGGCATCAGAGCCACCCGCCAGCCACAGGTGGCGTGCAGCGGTGGGCTATGGGGCTGGGGCTGGAGACCCTGGCCTGCAGGGGCCACGCCTCACCCACCACCCCGGCACAAACCCCCCCAGCAGCCAGCCCGAAGCCCCCGCCCCATCTCCTCGGGAGCGCGCGTCTGAGCAGCGGCAGACCTACCCTGAAGATGTCCAACGTGTCTTTGTAGCTGAGCAGGGCCACAGGAATGCCAATCTCATCATATTGCGTCTTATTGCCCCCCGGGGGGACCTGGGGGCCCAGAGGAGGGAGCGGCAGGCATCACCCGCAGCAATGGGTGGGCCCCCAGCTCTGTGCCCATTGCCTCCTCTCCTGGGACCCTCACTCGAGGCTCAGGCCAGGCTGGGGGCGCCTGTCTGCTCCCCCTCTGCACCTGACAGCCTCCGGCCTCCCAGGAGGACCCAAGGACAGGGAGGCCCAAGGGCATCAAGACTTCACCCGACAACAGGGCCCCGGGCCTAAGACAGCCAATCCCTCCCTCAGCCGTGGGACTCCCTAACCGCACACACACGTCCTGAGTGACACTTGTCACAGCCCACGCCTGCCCACTAGGCCACCTTGAGCCCCGCACCCACTGAGGGCCTCTCTCAATGACGACGGCAGCACGTGCAGACGGGGATGACACCCTCGGCTCTGCCCAGCCTGCTCTGGCCTCAGCCCTGAGACCCTGCCCCAGGCCTCCCTAGGTGGCCAGGCTCAGGCTGCAACGCTGGCGGGGGCAGCCCAGAGCCACGGGCAGGGCTGTGAGGGAATTCCTGCACTCCATTTTCTTCTTACCCCAAAACTACACTTCAGGGGCGCTGTGCACCCTGCCCAGCCCAGCAGTCAGCGTGTCCCCTGCTGTGACCAGCCTTGCCAGGCCCCCAGTTCTCAACCACAGCCCGTTTCACAGCAGATGGAAAAGGGGCTGGGCGTCAGGCCACCTGGATAGGACCACACAGGTGAGCACAGCCCCACCGGCTCGAGAGCCAGGGCACCAGGGTCCCCAGAAGGGGCCAGTTCAGGGCCAGGCCATCTGCTCCGCAGAAGACACCCCAATCCCATCCCTATGGAGAGTGTGGTTTCCCTCACCCCAGGGGCTGCTCTAGCACAGGCACCCAACAAGACCACAGCCACAGTTCCACAGCCCCGGCCAGCAGCACAGAAAGAACAGATTCATCTCTGCCCTCCCCACAGCCACACTCAGCCCGGATCCTCCCCACAGCCACACTCAGCCCGGATCCTCCCCACAGCCACACTCAGCCCGGATCCTCCCCACAGCCACACTCAGCCCGGATCCTCCCCACAGAGGGCCTGCCTTTGGCGAGAAATAAGAAGACCAGCCCCTGCCGCTGCTGCCTCCTGCACCCCCCTCCTGCCCCTGAGAGCTGGCTCGGCGGTGGGGGCGCAGGGCCGTACCAGCCTCTCCCTGCTGACGATGAGCAGCCCGCGTGCTCCGCTGCCCTGGGCCAGCCTCACTTTCTCATAGAAGGTGCAGTTCCCCCGGGCCACCAGCGGGATCTGGTTGCCAAAGCCGTGGGCAGGGAGGTCCGCTGCGGAGCAGAGCAGGGAGGCCGTCCAGTTGCGCAACTGCAGGAAAGACTGGAAAGGCCAGGGCACGGTTTCGTCTCACGTGATGTGAGTCACCAGGAGGACCCAGCTGCCCCTTCTCCCACCCGAAGCCTGCGCTGAGTTAGATCTCGGCTCTCGCCTAAAGCCCCGCATGGCCTCGGCCACACCTAGGCAGAGCCATCCCTACGGTGGTTCCCACAGCAGGGCGCTGGGCGACGGGTTGGGCTGCCTCATCTGAGCAGGGCTGGAGTCCTCACAGACAAGGCTGTCCCCTGACACCTGAGCCACCCTGCGAGCCATCACAGCTCACTCAGCAAGACCAAGTGGGTCCCCACCACAGCCCCACCACGGCCAGGCATCTGTGAGAAACGGGAGGGGTTCCAGTGTGCGGAGAACAAGGCCCCGACTCTCAGCGACCTCACAGCCCAGGAAGGAAGCCAAGACAC